ATTTTTATCACATCAAATAAAGGAAACACTATCAACATGATTAATGACTATTGATGTGGACCTTGATTGCCTGTCAGAGGGGGAGTTTGTCAGGTTTCCCCACTCTTAACTGACTGTTCTCCCCTTTCTTTTTCTAAACTGGACTCTGGAAGGAAGACAGTATATGTATTACACATTTACAAATGGGGACTAATCTTCCTCTCCTTGATAATGGAGAATCTCTGTAAATCATTTGGAAATGTTCTGCATGGGAGATTTGTCTTAGCTCCTCTTCTTATATATTTATTTGTTCACATAATATATCATTATGTTCTCATCAACATATATTTTGTATTACAACCTAATAGAACCTTCAGTTTCTTGTTCAAATTGTTTCAGCACTTGCCGTTGAGAGCTCTTTCAGTTGGCTCCTGTGTTCTGTTGATATATCGCTATAGGCATTTTTTGTTTGGTTTGTTTGTCTTTGCTTTTGGATACCTCCTCATTTTTCAGGATGATGGGATGAGCTGTGTCCATTTTGTGTATTTCTAGGTCTGGCTCTAGAATGAGCCATTTATCCAAAGAGCTCTGGTTCCTTTTACAGGATTTGGATGCTAACTGTGCACGTTCCACTGGGTGTCATTTCTTTTGGGACCTCCTTGCACCTATCAAAGATATACATGTCTACATACTCATCTTTACATATTTACATATAAATAAATGTTTCCATATGTGATAATCTATATATTACACTAATAATCTGAGTTCTTTACCACTATGTTTTATTAATTGATGGGTCTTACTGATGTTTCTAACCCTCATGTATCACCATATGAATTATTCTGGTGAATAACTCTTGCCCTTACTTTTATGTAAAGTCCCACTTCAACAACAACAAAAAAAACTTAACTTTCATGATTTACCATCTATTTATTTTATTGTTCAGTTCCAGTGTACATGTGTAGAAGAATCAAGACTGTCCCCCACATCCCTAGTAGAAAAACTTCATTAGGCGGTAGAGTGCTTTTGCGACGTTTCTCTTGCCTTTAGTCTTACATAGGTTTCCCATTTCCAAAGTTACGTAATTCAGCAGCTGTCCCCCTTCTCACTGAGGTTGTTTCATGTATTTGTAAATACCATTACGTTCTCTTGTCAAAGTCTGCATTGCTTCCTAGAATCTTCTAATCTCCTAATTGACTTTTTTGTTTGCATACATTAAGGCTCATCATGTGCTATAAGGTCTGTGGATTTAAACGACCATATAATGTCATTTTCCACCGTGACAGTATCATACAGAATAATTTCCCTCCCCTACATATTCACTGTTCTTTTCATCCCTGTCCTCATCCTCCAACATCCCAACATACCACTCATATTTCTACTCTCACTATTTCTGCCTTTTTCAAAGTATTATCTAATTGAGATGATACAGTATTTATCCTTTTCTAACTGCCATGCTCAGCATGTGGGAGCTTGATATAAGGAAATCAGAGTTCAGTTCTATGGTTTGAGAGTAACCACAACACTGGAATCCAAGTTCTTGAGGGGCTAATCTGTGTCTGAGTGATGGCAAAAATTTTATTAGATCTCACTGAAACCACCAAAATTGTTGACTGCCTGTTCTCTCATATATTACCAGTGCAACCTGTTGATCAACAAAGGAAAACTAATTAAACCTATTGCAATATGAGAGACTGCCATCTTGACAGGCATGTATATGCAGATAATCTATATATGAAGTTAAAAAGTATACAGATATAGAATGTAGATGAAACCTGACACAGATATAGATGTCGGTATAGGTATAGACATATAGATAGAAAGACACGCAGAGAGATGCCAAAAACATGCATTGAAATTAAATTAACAGAAAGCTTTGTTTTAAATTTATTTGAATAGTGTGATCTTGTTCTATATCTTCATTATAATTGTATATTTCCTAATTAACTAGTTTTACCTTTCTTCTTTACCTTTTATTCTGGATATCAAGTAGCAAAAATTAAGTTAGTCATTTTCTCCAGTTCAAAGCATATTTTTATTACTGATTTCTGAAAACCTCTCTTATTTGATGTACGTGAATGATTCTAAACATCCACGTCTAGAAATACCTAGTCAGCTTTTGAATTGTGGATAGCCCCTCAAAGATAAAATAATACCTCAGTATTGATTTCCATTTTCTCCTGATAACTAATAATTTTGAGTATCTCATTATGTAATGGCTACCAATTTGAGTTTCTTCTCTAAATTTTCTGTTCTTATTTTTTGCTCATTTTTTTATATTCAGTATTTGATAATGGACATAGATTATTAGGTTATTAAGTTCATTATTAATAAAACAAAGTGTGTTACATTAAATTGAAAAGTTTTATGATTTAATGCTATTTTCACATATTTTGGAAAGTTAAAAAATATCTTATAATATGGAAGTGCTTCTCTGTTTTCCTCTCAAAAGAGATTCTAACCTTTAAATGGCAAAGTTTCAACTGCCAAAACATACACTGAGATGCTGGTGCCCTATAAACTTAGAATGAAAATAATTGCCATTGGCTCAAGAGTAACAGCAGAAGGGCGGGTCACCCTCTGGCACCTTTGACTTTCTACAGTGAAGTCAGAGGCAAAAAGTCCATGTGAATCTTAAATGTGAAAATGACAATATTATTGATGTTTCACTTAAAACCAGAAAGGAATCTTAAAAGTGCATTTGTAAAACGAGTTTTTAAAAACGTTTGACAAAGTGTTTCTTAATATTTTAACTCACAACAAAAAAAGCGTTAGCATTTTTATCACAATTTTATTTAAAATAATAAAACCATAGGCTACTATTAGTAGAAATCACACATAAAACATACTGAATGAAATTAACATTGCCTTTTACAGATCATGTACATACATTTAAATCTGATTAACAAAATGTATTAAGGTAATTAGCATAACTATTTTTATGTTCTCTATGACTTTATAAGCAAACAATATATCAGTAGAGACCTACAAATACTTTTAATCATTTATACCCTATTTATGCAACAGTAGATCAGTTATTTAATTGATTTGATTATGTAGAATTAACTAGGTCAGTGGTTTTAAACACAAATGTTCACTCTTTTTTTTTTTGGCCAAAAACAATTATTTGCTATCATTAGATAGCCCAGCCTTTGGAGCATAAAAAAAGAGTAGTTGTGTTTGTAATGATTCTTAAAATTATAAATCATGTCTGATCTATATATGAATCTTAAATTTTAATAGTTACAAATTTAGTAATATTTGTTAAAGTTGAAAAATTTGGTAAATGTAAATGCATAGAGGCCTGGGGTATGTTTTTTACCTAATTGTATGGTTAGCATACATTTAAATGCAAATGATTTTTCACAAAACTATAAAAGAGTCAAAAGCAGCATTAATGATTTTGTATTTCTGGCACCTAGGATGAACCCTAAGAATGGTAGGTTTTCAATAAATAGTTGTTGCTTTAATGAAAAATAATAAAAGCACATGGAACATGTTCAGCTTCATCTATCATGTAATTGCATCTTAAAATGAAAACAGTAATAGTTGAGTTTTTTACCAATCAATTTTCAGTAAAGGTAAAACCAACTCGGAATGAACAATTGCATTACAGATGCATGTAATCATTTCAGAAATTGTAGTTAAAATTATTGGTGGGGAATATTAATTAATTTAGTACCAGAGGTAATGCCTGCCACATGGGAGAATGCAATAATACTCTGGTTAAAAATTTGTTGAAGAGGCTGGGTGCAGTGGCTCACGCCTGTAATTCCAGGCTTTGGGAGGCCCAGGCATGTAAATCAGCTGAGGTCAGGCGGTCAAGACCACCCTAGGCAACATGGTGAAACCCAATCTCTACTAAAAATACAAAAATTAGCCAGGCATGGTGGTGGCTGCCTGTAGTCTCAGCTACTCAGGAAGCTGAGGTGGGAGAATTCTTTGGACCCAGGAGGCAGAGGTTGCAGAGAGCTGGGATCACACCACTGCACTCCAGCCTGGGTGATAGAGCAAGACTTCAACTCAAAAAAAAAAAAAAAAAGAAACAGAAAATTAAGTGAAGTGAATGGATAAATAAAATATGGTATGGTAAGAAAATATGCCACATTTTTCACCCCCTCATACATACTAATATTGTATACAGAATGCAAAATTGAAGGAAGGAAATCCTTCAGTGTGCAAACATCCATGAACCTGGGTTACATTATGCTAAGTTAAATAAGCCAGACATAGATAGACAAATAGTGCATGATCTCACTTATATGTGAAATCTAAAAATGCAGAGAGTATAATAGAGGTTACCAGGGTGTAGGGGACTGGAGGAAATGGGTAGATTTGATCAAAGGGCACAAACTAGTATGCAAGATGAAATCTAATGTACAGCACAGTAAGTGTATGTAATAATACTGTATTTCATACTTTCACCACACACTGAAGCCTGTTCTCACCACACAGTAAAACAAACAAACAAATAGTCATGTGAGGTGATAGATATGTTAATTAGCTTGATTGTGGTAATTATAGCACAATGTATACATATAACACATACCTCAAAATATTATATTGCACAACTTAAATATACATAATTTTCATTTTTCAATTATACTTCGATAAAGCTAGGGGAAAATTACTCAGTAAACTGAAGTTTAGAGCAGAAATAAAAGATCATGCAGTGTGGAAAATAACTGAGGATTTAATTTTCTTCCTGTCTATTCTCATTTAAAATCAAAGTATTAAACATGGCAGTATATAATTTTGGAAAGCCCAATGAGCAAAATACATCTAGGGATGAAGATTCTGAGAATAACGGGAGAGAAAAAAGGTCTGAATTCCCACGTTCTTGTTTTGGATACAGAAAATGGCCAATACAGAAAACTTACTACAATCTTGTCATAGAGTAGAAATCTTATACTTAGAAATGTAATGGTCGAACATGAAAGAATATCAAAGCATGATCATTTGGCGTTACTTTGATGCCGAGGATTTAAATGGTTCTTACTCAACTATATCTCTCTGTGCAGGAGACATGCAATTGTGAGGTATTCTACAGAATAAATTGGCAGTGACTGCGCAGCTGTAGATGAAAACATCACGCAGTGTTGACAAGGTAAGTCAGAAATGCATTACAGAGAATTTGATATTAGTTATGTTGTAAATAACAAAAGCTGATTATGCATAGCAAAATAAAATAATTTACTTGAGTAATAAAAAAATTGCAAAACAAGTTTGAATTACCACAATTCCAGAATGTAAGTAGTCATAAAATTTTAAGAAACCTCAGAAGCAGTGTTACTGAAGTTTATTCTAGAATATTAGAGGATATAATTTTCTCATGTTATTATATTTTATATAACAGATTATAACAGAAATATTGTATAGTTATGCATATCAAAATGGACTGAACATTTTTATTCATGAATTGATTTTCTGGATACATATAAATACAGATCTGACTTGGTTTTCAGATTTGTAAATTCAATTTTATAAAACATTTATTGAGATATAATTAGCATATCATAAAATACACTCTTTAGAGCATACAATTTTGTGGTTTTTAAGATAGTTGCAGAGTTGTACAATTCTGCCAACTTAAAAATTTTAGGATATTTTATCTTCCAAAATAGAAATCTGGTACCCATTACAGGCAGCTTCCGTCCTCTTCAAATCTCAAACCCCTGGCAACCAGTAATCAACTTTTGGTCTGTATGGATAGGGTTATTTTTAAAATTTCATAGAAACATGATCCTACAATATGTGGTCTTGTGTCTTCTTTCAATTAGTATATTTTCAAGGTTTATCTGTGTTGTTGCATGTATACTACTTCATTTGTTTCATTGATTAACAATAATATGTATATATGAAATATTTTGTTAATTCATTAATCATTTCATGGAAGTTTTTGTTGTTTCCACCTTTTGGTTATTACAAAAAGTGCTACTAAAAACATTAGCATACAAGCTTCATGCAAGGGCATTATGACTTCCTCTTGGGTATACGCCTAAGAGTAGGATAGCTGAATCATAGAAAAGTCAGTCCACTGCAATCAGTATGTTAACGAACTTAACTATCATGTTGCTCTGATGACCATAACATCAGACATATACTTGGTAGATTCTTACAAAGTTGAATATATACCCACATATGAACCAACAATTTCACTCCTAGGTATTTAAGATAAATAAAAATACATGTTTACACATTTTTACACAAATGTTCACAGCAGCATGATTTATAAGGGCTCCAAGTGGAAATGCAGTGAGCTGAATATATCGCCCAAAATTTATACATTGAAATCCTAACCCCTAAGCGGATGGTATTAGGAGGTAGGGCCTTTGGGAAGTGATTAGATCATGAGGATGGAGACTTTGTAAAAGATCATGAGAGTGAGGCTTTTATAAACGATCCCAGAGAGACCCCTTTCCCGTTCTTCCATGTATCATTATAGCAAAAAGACTGCTGTGTAGGAAACAGGCTGTCACCAGACAACAAATGTACCTTGATCTTGTACTTCCCAGTCTCCAGAATTGTGATTAATCAATTTGTGGTGTTTATAAGCCACCCAGTTTATGGTATTTTTGTTATAGCATCCCAAACAAAGAAAAACAAGAACCTAACTAAATGTAAATTAATAGTGATTGGAGGGGACACCCCAGCAGCTGGGAAATGATGGCTGACTAGAAACATCAGATGCCCGTTCTTTTAAGAAGGGCCCAGCTTACAGGTGAGCAATCATGGCCCAAGTAGAATACTGAGAGAAGAATTCCAGAACCTGTCAGAGAATCTGTGGGAAGAAGTTCGACAAAATCAAGGAAGCAAGGGTTTGGCAGAGATTGAACCCCAGGGAGCTTGAAGCCTTGTGAAAGGGAATGTGGGCATATTTTTTGCTCCCCTCACCTCTATGGCAGACTGCCAACTGCTAACTGTTGGAGATGCCCTCTTCCTTTGTAAGCCAAAGCAATTTTTGTGGGAGGTGATGTGGGAACTTCTTGAGGACAAAGCACCATGTGGCCAGGTCACACAGGTTCGCTCACATAATACCCAGACCCTAGCCAAGGTCACAGGTGCCATAGGGTATGCAACCATTATGGTCTGCAACCATTTTGGGCCTTTATCCTGCCAGGGAGTCTCAGCTCTTATGTCCGTAATACTAGTTTTCTGCAAACGTTCCCTAGAACCTGCTCAGACTGCAGCAATCACAAATCACCAGGACCCTGAGGAGCTGCAGGATTCCCAGACATCTAAGCCTCAGGATGGGCCCCTCCAAGGTGTAGGGAGAGTGCAGTGCACCAAAGTGTTCCTGAGGACAAAGGAAACCAGATCACATACTCTTCTCTGCCCAAGAGCTCCCTGCTAGTGAGCAGAAGCTTACTGTGCCCTTCGTTGAGAAGATGCAGGTGTGGTGCTAGTTTCTGTAGGGAAGGAATGTGGTTGTGTCCCAGCAGACAGGTGGCACTGGTCTCTAGAAGTGTATCTGGAGAGAGGGATTCTCCCAAGCTGCCATCCACTGCTGTAGAGGCAGCTACCCCTATTCCTGCTGGAGCTTGGAACTGCTGTGCTTAGAGACAGCCTTTCCAGGACTATGGGAACAGATGCACCTCCACTGACAGTGGGCTCACTGGTCTGGGCTTCCATGAAGGGTGGGGCCCATAACTCTCCCTGCATGGAGAAGCAGCATTCCTGCAGTAGAATACGGGCAAACCACAGAGCTGTCTGTTTTGAGCTGAGGAAAGAGGTCCTGCCTCAAGGCCAGTTTGATGGCAGCCACAGGGCAGGTGTTTTCTGTGGATTGCTGCCTAAAGATAAAAGACAGTTTCTATCTGAACCAAGTAAGTCATGAGGCCTAGGACAGGGGTGCGATAAGAAAGCAAATCATGTTCCTGCGTGCTCAGAACATGCAGGTGGTGCAGCCTCCTGCCCCACTGTGAAGACCTCAGTGTATTACACCATGAACTCCCCCCAGAGCTCCTCACCTGTAAGGCAGGTACTTCTGCTCCTCACTGAGGTATCAAGAGTAAGCCACCCCTTATCCATAAGAGCCACCTACTGGAATGGAGATTGAACTGCACAACCAAATAAAAAAACCTGCAGACAGAAGGGCCATAGGCCCAGAAAAGCAAATATTGAGAAAATTTATCATCACTAGACTGACCCTATAAGAAAAGGAGTTCTAAACAGGGAAAGGGAAGGATGATACTTGTCTTATAAAGGAATACAAAGTATAATACAGAGTCATAAAACAGTTACACTGTTGATACTGGAAAGCAACTAGATAACAACTTTATGATTGGAAGAAATCTTCATGCAACAATATTAATCTTGAAAGTAAATGGTATAAATGCTCTACTTAAAATATATAGACTGATGGAATGAATTTTAAAAAAAAAAGATTCAATCATACGCTGCCTAAAGCAAAAATAACAAAGATCAGAGCAGAGCTAAATAATGTTTTGGCCAAAACCAAAACCAAACAATAAAACAAAGCATTAGTTCTTTGAAAAGATAAACAAAATTGATAGACCACTAGGTAGGTTAACAAAGAATAAATGGGAGAAGATTAAAATCACCACAATCATAAATTTTAAAAGTGATACTACACCTGATGGCACAGAAATGCAAAAGGTAATCACTGACAGCTATGAGTAACTCTATCCACACAAACTAGAAAACTAGTGTAAAAAAGAACTTCTGGAAATGTTCAGCCTCTAAAGATTGAACCATGATGACATAGATATCTTTAACAAACCAACAGATATCTTGAACAGACCAATTCTGAGTAGTGAAATCAGTAATAAAAAAAAAATCTCAAGAAAAAAATCCCAAGATCACACAAATTGAAAAGATAACCTACAGAATAGGAGATAATATTTGCAAACTGTGCATCCTACAAAGAACCTATATCCAGAATCTAAAAGGAACTCAAACAAATAAAATGACAAAAACCCAAATAATCTTGTTAAAAAGTGTGCCAAAGACATAAACAGATATTTTTCAAAAGAAGACATACCAGAGGCCAATAAACTTGAAAAAATGGTCAACATCACAAATCATGAGAGAAATGCAAATTAAAACTACAGTGAGTTGCCATCTTACACCAATCAGAATTATAACTATTGAAAAGTCTAAAAACAACAGATGTTGGTGAGAGGGTGAAAAAAAGAGAATGCTTATATACTGTTGGGGAAAATGTAAATTAGTAAAATCTCTATGGAAAACAGTATGGAAATCTTCCAAAGAAGTAAAAATAGAACTACCATTCAACCCAGCAATCTCACTACTGGGTATATATCCAAAGGAAAAGAAAGTATTATATTAAAAAATAAAAAAAAAAACTTGCATACGTATTTTTATTACGGCACTAGTCACAATAGGAGACTCATGCAATCAACCTAAATGCGCATCAACAGAATATTTTTAAAAAAAATTGGAAAGAGCAGGATGGTTAACTGGATGCAGTCTGGAAGTGCCATTCCCACAAAAAGAGACTAGGATTTTGACTAATCCAATATAATTTGAATATAACTTCAGATAAAAACACTAAATGTGGATGGATAAAAGACACAGATACTGAGGCTGAAGGGGGAGGAAGGTGGAAACCCTGGCTGGGGTGTAGGAATGCTAGGGTTGGTTCCCAGCCCTGAACAATTCCTGGAGAAGGGGTGACTGAAGGACTGGAGGAGCACTCATTCTCACAGTGGTCTTCTGGGATCTGCAGATGACCACAAACCCCCACAGATGTTTAAGCTGGCAGGGGGCTAGCCACAGAGATTAGCCAGAGTCAGAGCTGCAGCAGTCATGGAGCTGAGAACCTTTGGGCATGGGATAGCTCTGGCAGAGCCCGTCCTTTAGTGTCCACATCCCAGGATTGCTCATGTTTCTCTGAGAGGTTCTGGCTACAGCTAACCACAAGGGAGAAAGCAGGGCCTACCTCCTCAAAGGACTTGGGCATTTCTGTCCTGCAGGTCGGCCTTCCTGGCACCTCTTCCAGGGCTCCCACTTGGCTGTCCTGCAGGAACGTGCACACATTGGGATTATTTTTTCTCCACTGCCAAGCCTGGGTGCTTTGCTCCACTTGAGTACATTATGGCAGCCTAAAAGTATTTTTCTATTTCAGCACACCTAGAACCCAACCTTGAGGGTCCAAAAGAGGGAGACATGGGCTGGTCTTGGCACCCCAGGGCTGCAGCACACAGCTCAGGAGTGCCAAGCTGGGATGGGCAGGGGAGGAGCCCGCATTCTAAGAAAACTGAGAAGGGTTATTTTTACAAGATCATAGCCTTGTTTGGGACCTAGGCATGTCTCTTTCCAAAGAGCTGGTCCAGAAATGCTGTGACCTATCTCCCTGTTGGATCTCCTCCCAAGGGAGCCCCATGGCCTGAAACAGCAATGACTGACAATAACAACAACAGAATTGTTAGCACTGTGCTAGTGATCATAGGTAGCTTGCCCAAGGCCCAGGAATGGTCTTGACGAGGAGTCATCTCTCCCCCCTTGCACCATGGAACACAGCTGCAAACACCAGGATACAAGAAGAGCCAAGCAGCTAAGAGCCTATCTACCGCCCATTGTTTTCAAATGCCATCTATTGGATCACCATTCAAACTACAACACTGAAAAACATTTGACTAACTGCCTACTGCAAAACCAAGGTCGGGAATTCAAGAATGAATAAAGACCCCGTACAGAGCCTTAGCCATCTGTAAACTTTAAGAAGTGAAGCCAACTGTTTATATCCGATTTACATTACCGTTAAAGCAATACTAACCCTCCCAGATGAAAAAGAATCAGCACAGGAACTCTGGAAATTCAAAAAACCAAAGT